CCGCAGAGGCCTTCCGGGTGATCCTAACTAGGTCTGTCTTGGGGCCTTCTCGGGGCCTCTTGGAGCCCTGAGGCCATCTTGAGCCATCTTGGAGCCAGCCTCGCCCCTTGTCCCCTTCCTCAGGCCGCGTTCGGCCTCATTTCGCGCCCTCCAGGGGACAACAATGGACCAAAACAGAAAACCAAAATCAAACGACCCGCCGCGCCAGGATCAAACAAAATCGGATGTATCACAAAGCAGCCACTGAAAAGGCGACAGCAACTTGCATAGATTTGACACCTTTCTCAACTCACAGAGCTTGAAACATAATCGTTGTAATCGAACGATGGGACTGCGTAAGACCTCCGGCTCGCCAGCGCAGTGTGGAGCAGTGATAGCCTCGCCAAAAGGGCTGAAGAATAAGAACGCAGCCCAAAAGCCATACAGGAACGGTTTGGTTTTGGAGATTCTTGTGGTGGCCAGGTCAAGGTTCAGTAAAGCATTTACCACCATGGCGACCCCATAAAAAGTGTTCCAGGATTTCTCTAGCCGCGATACGAGTTCAGCGTGGTATTCATCCGAGCCAGGCATCGCCAGCAGAAAGATGTAGATGAAAGGCGTGAAAAATGCCGAGGATGCTGAAGGGCTACAGTTCACGATTTGCGACAGGGTACTCTTGGAGTCATCAAAAACCACTGGAGTCATATCCCAGTCGGCGCAGACTCCTTTGTAATTGTACCACTTCATGGCGACGGACGCTCGCTCGCTGAAGGTGCTGCCCCCCTTGGCCTTTGACCTGGCTGTTTCAGCCGCCCTCCCGACGAAGGGCTCCCATGCTGCCGTTTGCTGCAACGCGACGTGAGCATGTAGTCGACCGTTCTCGTCACACGGCCTTCCCACAAGTCATTTTTCACTCGCCTGATGCAGCGGTCGTTACCAAACGCACGAGGGAGGGGGGAGCGTTGAGGTAACGACCGTTACAGGCACGCGAATGAAGAATTTCTCTGCCCCCCTCCTAGCAGGCACAGTAGGACCCTCCACTCCACGGTAGAAACTTTCTATGCGCATTTCGTGGCGTGCAAAGAAAGCCTGTGCTGTGCTGAGAAGTTCCTTGCCTATGTCGGTGTTCGCCGCCTCTTGCGCAGCTGACTCTGCCCTCTCGCAAGCGCCGGCGTAGTAGCAGTAGTAGCAGTAGTAGTAGTAGTAGTAGCAGTAGCAGTAGCAGTAGCAGTAGTAGTAGTAGTAGTAGTAGTAGTAGTAGTAGTAGTAGTAGTAGTAGTAGTAGTAGTAGTAGTAGTAGTAGTAGTAGTAGTAGTAGTAGTAGTAGTAGTAGTAGTAGTAGTAGTAGTAGTAGTAGTAGTAGTAGTAGTAGTAGTAGTAGTAGTAGTAGTAGTAGTAGTAGTAGTAGTAGTAGTAGTAGTAGTAGTAGTAGTAGTAGTAGTAGTAGTAGTAGTAGTAGTAGTAGTAGTAGTAGTAGTAGTAGTAGTAGTAGTAGTAGTAGTAGTAGTAGTAGTAGTAGTAGTAGTAGTAGTAGTAGTAGTAGTAGTAGTAGTAGTAGTAGCAGTATTTGTAGAGGCCTCTGTGAAACGTCCCGGGACCTCTGTGGATCAGGTCAGCACAAGTCAGCGCAAGTCAGCGCAGGTCAGCGCAGGTCCTCACAGAACGACGCAGGACGGCACGGGTCTCGGACAGGGAGGACAGGGCACAATCTGAGCTGCGCTGACCTGCGCTGACCTGCGCTGACCTGCGCTGACTGACCTGCGCTGACCTGCGCTGACCTGCGCTGACCTGCGCTGACTGGCCTGACCTGCGCTGACCCCGTTGACCTGCGCTGACCTGCGCTGACCCGCGCTGACCTGTGCTGTCCTGCGCTGACCAGCGCTTCTGAGGAGCGCGTGACCTGCGCTGACCTGCGCTGATCTGCGCGGATCCGCGCTGACCTGCGCTGACCTGCGCTGACCCGCGCCGGTAACATCTCCGGGTTGAATGCGAACGCCCTGAGAAGATATGCCCCCCAAAGGGTACGATCGACGACGAATAGGGCGGGTATCGAGGGTTTGGGATATACGGGTTGAATGGAACGCGGGCGCATAGGAGCGAACATTGTTCAATTGATTGTTGAATTCTCACTTCGAACACTATTCTTGTTGATCCCCCGTCTCCTGTAACCATTGTTTTTACATTGTTGACGCTTCGCGAATCCCCACCAGCCCATCCAGAAACGATGCCCAGAGGAATTGCCTCGATCAGGGAAGTGGGCAGCACACAGAGGAAACCATTACGAGACATCTTGGGATATCTCGAGTCATCGTGGAGGTCATATTGGGCTCTCCCAGGCGCTCTTGGAGTCATCTTAATCAGTGCCCCCCCTCCAAGAGGCCAACATGTGGCTAAAAACATAGTAAAATCAATGATTAGGCATTCTCGCCGAGGCCTCTTGGAGCATCTTGGGTGCCTCTGGGGGGTCTCTTGGGGCATCTTGGGGATCTCTTGGGAGCCTCTTGGGGGCATCCTGGGGGCTCTTGGAGCTTCCTGGCCACGTCTTGGGGCCCTCTTGGGGCACCCTTGGGAGCCTTGGGGGCCATATTGGGCGAGAGCGATCACAGGAGGGGGGGTCCTAAATTAGCGTCCCCGACAAGGAGGCCAAAATGGGGCCCAAACCTTAGTAAAACCAGTGATTTTGGCTTCCTCGCCGCGGCCGTTTTTGACGCTCCGACGACTCGCGAAACCTCATGTCCAGGTCCAGGGGAGGGGGTAGGGGGAGGGGTAAAACCCTCCCGAAGGGGACCAAGGAGGGGTGGAAGAGGAAACGCTCTAAACCACCGACGCCCAGAGGGCTGGTGGGATTAAAGTGCTTCTCCCGGGCCTCGCACCCTGTTTTTTTACAAGGGAAAGCGAAGGGTCACCACACTGCGCCCTTGGCACCCGAGTTGCAACAACAACGACACCGGCTGATACTTCCTCGCACTTTATTCCCAAGTCGCGCTCTCGCGCGGTCTTCCTCACAATGTATACAAATGGCGCTTTCGCGTGGGACTTCCTGGCAATTTCTTCAGACGCCGCGCCTTCGACACTCAGGAATACCGCCATAGCTTTTCTTGCAATTTATCGGGGAAACGCGCTATCGCTCGGGACATCCTCGCGATTCATGCAGGAAGCGCGCTTCAGCAACCCGCCTGCCCCTTGTCCTGTCCTTCCATCCGTCCTCTCCTCCCCTGCCTTACGGCCTGCACGGAATGCACACGGACCTGCCCCTTTGCTCCTCCTCGCTCCTCCGCCTCTTCCTCCTGCCGCCTGCCTCCTCCGTCCTCCTATCATCCCTCCGACGCGCCAGCCTCCGTCCACCCTCCTTTCACCCTCAGCACCCCTTCCCTCCCTCCTCCCTCCTCCCTCCTCCCTCCTCCTCCCTTCTTCGTCCTACCTCCGTTTTCAGCTCTCCTTTCTTCCCATTCTGGAGCCCCGCGCCGGAGCCCAGCGCCCCCGGAGGCCCTCGACGTGCGATCGCCGCCGGCTGGCCTGGGCCTGCTCGCGGCCGCCGCGGAGGCTCCGCCCCCCGCGGCCTGCCTGCGGAGACTGCTGAGACTGGCCCGATTGGGCCTGCGGCCGCCCGACCGCATCGGATTGATTCGGCTGGCGGGCATGTCGGGAACCTTATCGCCGTCGAGGGACGAGCAGGGAGTAGGGAGGGGTCACGATGAAGAAATGGGCGTCTTGAAGGGAATGGGTTCCCGAGGTCTTGCGCCGTTTTCGGCCTCCTGGGGGCCGAGAGGGGGGCCGTCAAGAAACTACTCAGGATAAAAAGTCGATAATGGTAAAATCCTGGGGCCCGTGACCTGTTTCCTTCAGGATTTCCTTCATGGCAGACAAGTGGTGAGTGAGGAGGGATTATGTGTTTTCTAGTTGGTGCATTCAGCGGGTCGGCGGGGCGAGCGCATTTTGAGATCACGAGAGGGGGAAAGAAGACGGCGACGACCCGATTAATGACAGGTGACGAAGACGACAGCAGCAGCATGAGCAGCAGGCACGGGGAGCGGTGTCGAGCGGCAATGTGAGCAGTGAGTAGTGAGGAGGGAGTAGTCAATAGTGAGTAGTGAGTAGGGAGTAGTTAGTTGCGAGTAGGGAATAGCGAGTAGTCAGTAGTTAGTAGTGAGTAGTGAGTAGTTAGTAGTGAGTAGTGAGTAGTGAGAAGTGAGATGTGTGTAGTGAGTAGTGGGTAGTGCGTAGGGAGTAGCGAGTAGAGAGTAGTTAGTAGTGAGTAGTGAGTCGTGAGTAGTGAGTAGTGAGTGCTGAGTAGTGAGTAGTGAGTAGTGACTTGTGACTAGTGAGTAGTGAGTAAGGAATAGGGAGTAAGAGGTAATTAGTCGTGAGTAGTGAGTAGTGGTTAGTGGGTAGTGAATGTTGCGTATCGGGTAGCGAGTAGCGAGTAGGGAGTAGCGCGTAGTGAGTAGTGTTTAGTGAGTATTGTGTAAGGAGTAGGGAGTAACGAGTAGCGAGCGACAGTGAGTAGTGAGTAGTGAGTAGTGATTTGTGAGTACTCAGTAGTGAGTACTCAGTAGCGAGTAGTGGATAGTGGTTAGTTGGTAGTGAATCGTGATTAATGAGTAGGCAGTAGTGGGTAGTGAGTAGTGGTAAGTAGTGAGTATTAGGTAATGGGTGCTGAATAGTGCGGAGTGAGCAGTGAGTTTGGAGTAGTGAGTAGTGAGTAGTGAGTAGTGGGTAGTGGTTAGTGAGTAGTGGGTATTAGTGAGTCGTGAGTAGTGAGCAGTGAGTAGTGAGAAGTGAGTAGTGAGTAGCGAGTAGTGACTAGTGGGTAGTGTGTAGTGAATAATGAGTACTGAGTACTGTTTGGGGCTAGGGTTAGGTCTTGGGGTTAGGGTTACGGGTGGTCGGGGTGGTAGTGTTAGGGGTGGTAGGGGTCGGGTTCTGGAGCCAGGGGGCGCCGTGGCGAAAAGGGGAGGAGAGGGGGGGGGTCAAATTTGGCGGCCAAAGGAAGGGAGGGGGGGGGGGGTCGGATCCCCCCCCCCCTTGAAAGGGGGGGAGGGGGGGGGTCCCCGACGACGGACCGGGAAAGCGGGGAAGGGGGGGGTTCCCCGACGACGGACCGGGAAAGGGGGGGAGGGGGGGGGGTCCCCGACGACGGATCGGGGGGAGGGGGGGGGGGGTCCCACGCCCCCTCCCCTTGGGGAGATCCAGCGGCGCGCCCTCGATGATGATGATGATGATGATGATGATGATGATGATGATGATGATGATGATGATGATGATGATGATGATGATGATGATGATGATGATGATGATTATTATTATGAGCATTATTTGTCTTATGATGGTGTGGTGGTGCTGGTGGTGGTGGTGATTGTGACGATGGTGGTGTTTGTGACGATGGTGGTGGTGACGGTGATGATGGTGATGGTGGTGGTGATGGCGATGGGGATGAGTAATATACGGATGATGGTGGTGCTGATGCTAATGGTGATGATGACGAGGAGGAGGTGGTAATGTGTGAGCCATGCGGTGCCATGTGTGGGCGCCTAAACCTGAACTCGCTGCAACGTGCTTTGCAGCGCCATTTCGGCCACTTCCGAATCGAGTTCGATCAGGGTGCGGCTCCGCCGTGTGGTGCCGTTCAGTCAGGTGTCGACCGTCTTGAAAACAGCATCGGCCAGGCTGTGGTGCCTTTCGGTGCCGTGGCATGCCCCGCGAAGAGGACACTGGTCGTGCGTCAGGCACCTTCCAAAGAGAGACCAGTCGGGCGGTGCCAGTCTTGTGTGGCGCCATGCAGTGCCGTGCCGTGTTCCCCAGACGTGAATTCGGTTGGACATGGATGGAGAGCGTGACCCCAGAACAAAACATCTTTAGAAGACGACCCCATTACCACCTGGTCCCTTTAAGACTCTGATTCGACCCCCAAACGGTTGCTGAAACTCATGGCCGCTTTCGTCAAGTGCTTCTTTAGGAGTGTGGCAAAAGGTCGTCACCTCGCCCTGCTACTTTCTGCGCGCCGCTATCGGCTGTCGCCCTAGCGGTCGACCGTTCAGCTCACTCATGCAGAGGGGGTCTTCAAAGCAGAGTGTGATCCGTTAGGCCGCCTGCCTCTCCACACGCCGCATCGAAGTCGGCCTGTCTATGGCCGTCTTGGCTCAAGCCCCTCCATCCTCCTCCTCCTTCTCCGCCTTCTACCGCCTTGTCCTCCTCCTCCTCCTGCTCCTCCTGCTCCTCATTCTCCACCCTCGTCCTCGTCGTCGTCCTTCCCCTTCCTCCCAGAACCTCCGGGCGGCCTCTGGCAGCCTGCGAATGCCCCCGGAGTCCTTGGAATATCCTCCAAACATTCAGCAATCGGAGCTCCCTCGTCGTCGTAGTCGTTGTCGCCGTCGTCGTCGCCGTCGGCTCCTGCCGAGCCGGAGCCGCGCGCCATGCCGCGCGGCGTGGTGGGCCTCGCTCTGGACGCCGCAGCGACCGCCGGCCAGCTGCGCGGCTGTTTGGCCACCGTGCGGGCTGGGAAAGCCCACTGGGGGGCAGCCAGGGGCGCTCCTCTTGGAGAGCGCCATTCAGGCACACCCGCTGGTCGTGGGCCCAGCGTTGGCCTGGCCATGACTGGTGTAGATGTGTGTTGGCTGTGTTGGCGTCCCCCGATAGGCGGACAGCAAAAGGCAATCATGAACCCGGCTGGTTTTCGTGGGCTAAGCAAAAGCCGTTCAGAGGAGCGCTGTGGATTGAGGAAAGCCAAGACCGCCAACGTTAGCGGCGGATCCTTCCTAACAAGGCAAACATACATTGAGCTGTCCTGATTGAGGCAGGTTCCTCCCTTGTCAATATCGGCCCTGGTTTCTGCCAGCGCGCGAACATTTGAGCTCGATGTCATCTTTCGTATGGGTTCCGCGCGTGTGCTTTCTTCTCTGGGACCTGGGGCCCGAGGCGGGCCCCCAGAAAGTGCTCAACCTCGGAGGCGGGCCCCCACAGGGTGTTCAACCTTGGAAATCCTTGCCGGCGTCACCTCCGCGCCAACGCGTCCCGGACTTCGTCTCTTTCTGACGCCGCTACAGTCCTGTCAGCGCGGACGTCGCAGAGTCCCGCATCTTTGGCATGTGTCACTCATGTCTGCTTGCTAAGGTAGGCAGGAGACGAGCTATTCCAGTATAGGACAGACGGCGAGCCAAATCTTATGACAGGACTCTGATTTGTTTCGCCTTGCCTTCCTTTGATTTGTTCTCTTTTTGTTACAGTCGATTGGTTTGTCTTTGCTCTTCGATGTAGTGCACACGAACTAGGTGTGTTGCCATGTGTTGCGTTGACAGTTTCGATTTTATTTGCACTGTCGCGCATCGCTTTTCTCTGCTGAGGAGGAGGAGCAGGAGTAAGAAGACCAATGTACGCACAAGGCGCATCAACAACGTTGCAATCAACCCTCCGTCCGAGTTCTGTGTTGATGGTTCCCTTCAATAAATGTTTCCCAACCATCTTGTGGTGTTGGGTCCTCGTGTTGATGCTGGGAAGTTTGTAGTTCCAGTGATATATAAATAAATATATATATATATATATATATATATATATATATATGAATACATGAGTATTTCAAAATATGCTCAGACTGTTTGGGCGATGACCCGAAATCCTGCAGCCCTTTGTTGCTCAAGAAAAAGAGCAGCCCTCCCTTCTCCTTTCTCCGCGACGAGGGTGGGGGAGCACGTGCATGGTAGCGGAGCTCCCTTGAGGTTTGTGGGCCAGTTCCGCACTCGGCGAGCTCCAGGAACCCTTCGATGAGACCCAGCTGCGGAAGGACAGCGGAAACAGCAGCGAGACGATTCGCGCGGTTCTACAACGGAAGACCCCTTTGCTGGCCAGAGCTGCGGGGGGACCCGTGCCCTGGCAAGGAGGTCGAAACGAGAGTTCGTCTTGAACCTTCGAGCAAGTGCAAGGCTAAGCCTGCGGTCAAGCGCAAGGGCGAAGAATGGCGAACAAACGCGGTGGCAGAGCCCCAGAGGCAAGAGCCCACCGCCAGAACCGAGGGAACGCCTGGGGGAAGCTGGCCGAGTGTGGTGACGCCGCTCAGCTCACGGAAGAAGGGCGAGCGGCGGTGAAGCGACAGCTCGCGCTCGATCCCCGGCGTCAGGCGAAGGCCGTCAAGGAAGATGGAGGGTCAAGTGCGAGAACTGGACGAGCAGGTGCAGAGGCTGACAACAGTCAGCAGATGAGGAACGAGCTTCGGCATCAAGATCTAGCAATAGCCGAGATGCGAGGTCAACTTCAAGGAGAAGCCGGCAGAGAACGAGGGCCTCGCGGCGAGATGATGAACCTGAAGATTCTTCACAAAATGAAGCCGTTCGACGGTCAGAGAGCGGGCTGGAGGACGTTCAGCTTCCAGTGCAAGGCCTACTTGATCGCGCAAGACCGAAGATATCGACCTCTTCCCGACAAGTGCGAAGATGGGGCGCAGGAAGTGGACGGCGTGAACCTGTCGGTCCAAGAGGAGGAGCTAAGCGCGCAGCTGTACTTCGCCCTGGTCCTAGTCATGCCCGAGGACTCGGTATGGGGAGATGATCGTCAGGAACAGCAGCGCGGGCGAAAGGGGCAGCTTGCTGGGGGCAGCTTCAGGAGGAGTACGTCCCAAGCGAAGCAGGCAACGTGCTGGCGATGTGGACCAAGCTTACGGACGCGAAGTTCGAGGCGACAGACGACGTCATGGTGAGCATCAGCAAGCTCGACGAGGACATGACGAAGTGCCAGAAGATGTCGGGCGAGCCCGTGTCGGATCTCATCGAGCGAGGGATCCTCGCCAAGGCGTTCAAGGATCACGCGGGCTTGCAGAAGCACGTGTTTCGGAACAGCAGTCGGCTGAACACGTGCGAGCTCCTGCGAGCCGAAGTCGTGTCAGCGCTGACGGCGGAGCGAGCGGCCCGCGACGATCCGATGGGCATTGGCGGGTTGAAGGGCGGCAGGAAGGCGTGGAAAGGCCGGGGCGAAGGCAAGGAAGGCGAGGGCGAGGAGAGGCAGCCGAACCCAGACACCGACCCAGAGTGCAACAACTGGCGCAAGAATGGCCACCGAAGCGCCAACAGCCGCAATCGGATAGCCGACGAGAAGAAGGCAGCCGCCAACCGCGACGACAAGGACAATACGTAGCGCCTAAATGACTTGTTCAAAGAAAAGAAGAGGGTCGCGGCAGCAGCAGTAGAGGAGCTCGAGATGTTGTGCCAAGCAGGAGTAGCTCCAGCGACAGGGCCGACGACGCACGCGCAGCCTCTGCCAGGGGCGCGCAGCAGTGCCGAGAGCGCAGTGGCACTGCCCGTCGCCTCGCCAGTCTGCAGAGGACTGCAAGCGAAAATGATTCTGGGCCCGAGGGCCGAGGACCGCGAGTTGATCTGCATCTCGCGCGAGAAAATGTTCAGGGTTAAAAGATGACACTACGATGAGTGTAGGCTGGACTTCTGCGGAGCGTGCGCAGAATTTTGCCCGGGCAAGCACGGGCGCTCGAAGTTCGACTTCTTGCAGCTGCTGCGAGCCAGCTGCGGTCGGACCCGCGCTGCTCGAGATCGGGGGCCTACGGGGGCAAGGGTTAGAAGATGACCGACCGCGGTAAGCCCCGCTCCGGAATGCCGCCGTGCTCGACTCAGGCGCGCAGATCAGCGCCGCGCCGAGAGAGCAGGTTACCCAGTGCAACTGCGCGCCGACGGACAGTCGCGTCGTTGGCTTGAAGGGTATCGGAGGCGAAGAGATCGAGAGGTACGGCCATGTGTAGCGTAACCTGTCCAGAGGAGGAGAAGTAATCCAAGTTGGCGCGGAAATTGCTGATGTGGAGTATCCCGTTGTGGCCGCAGATGCGGTGGGGCAGCGGGGCCAGAGCGTTCTCCGTAGTCCTGCAGGTCACTGGATCATCAACGGCGCCATCGAGCCGCCTGAAGGAGCGGAATTCGTGCCTCTACGACGCCATCAGGCCAACTACTACTTAGGGTACGATGATCATAGACGGCAGGCAATGCCCGACCAGGCGACGCGCAGGTAGCAGCAGCGAGGAAGACGCCGCCGCGGAAGGTCCCAGCTGAACAAGAGCTGGATTTTTACCGAGGGCTCTCGGCTCAGAGGCGAACGAGACTACGGCTGCCGGCGAGGGTGCTGAAGTCACCCTACCAACCGAGTGCTGTGGAGAGGGCCGCGCACGAAGGGCATCGCCTGCCTTTTCGGCCCTGGTGTCCAGTGTGCGCAGAAGGTCGAGCGGATGGCGATCCAAGCTGCGTGCAGGGGCCAGCGGGCGAGAAGCAAGTGCCGAGTGTGTTGTTCGACATCTTCTATGTGGGAACTGACCGGCTGGCGGCTAAGTGCAAGGCTAAAGGGGGCTACTTCAGCATCCGCGAAAAGCCGTTGGTAACGAAAGCAGATCTCGAGCAGGCGATCTCGGTTCTGAACGTGATCGATTGCAGGATCCTGGCACAGGCAGCGCTGTATGCTAACGGAGAGTTGGATGTCTACAGTCTGTTTTCCTGATATCTGTGCTGGGGGTCTGGGGTCACGTGGCAGGTGTCTTTCAGACAGACCAAGGGCCTGCCGCGATGGCCCTGGCGAGTGCAGTTCGAGATCGCAGGCCGCGCTCTACCTTGGTGCGGGGGTCACCGCCTTTCTCCATGCAGAGTACTGGTTACGCCGAGGGTGCCAACGAGCTTGCAGCAGTTTTGCTGCGGGCCTACAAGCTGAAGCTGGAGCGCAAGTTGGGGCGCGAGATCAAGATGACGGATCCGATCGCGCCTTGCCTCGTCAATTCGGTGGGCTGGATGATCGCCAGGTTCCAGCCGCGAGGCCACGGAGGCTCTTCCCACAAGATGCTGTGCGGCAAGGGGTACAGTGGGGAGATCGCGGAGATGGGCGAGCAGGTCTGTTATAGGATCTTAGCCCGAGTTGCAGCTGGACGCGGCAAGTGGGGTGCCCGCTTCGCGAAAGGGATCTGGGTTGGAAAGCGCGAGTTGGGCGACTCCCACCTCGTGATCGACCCGGGGCGTGGCGCGCAGAAGGTCAGGGCCGTGCGGAGGATGCCAGAGGAGCTTAGGTGGCTGCCTGAGCTCATCCAGAACATCAGGGTTGCGCCGTGGAAGCACATCCCTGACAAGAGTGCATGGCCCATCGGGCGCGGCATGTGCGTCGCGGAGCGCGTGATCGACGCTCGCGGCCGACCGACGACTGGGGGAAATGCAGGCTGGATATGGATCGCACTTGGCAGCCTGCCGTCGGCGGTTTGAGACCATCCAGCCTACCTCCCGCGCGAGATGTTGGAGAAGGACTCTGTGGCCCCAGAGGCCATGGTGGCGGTGCCAGCCCTGGCTGCGGGGGCCCCCGCGCCTGGGGCAGCAGCTGGGCCGGCAGCGGCATCGAGCAGCAGCGAGGTAGCGGTAGCGCCCGCACCTGCTGCAGAGGACGTGGCCATGCCTCCTGTCCCAAGAGAGTTGTGACATCCCAGCCAGCTCAAGACTGGGAAATGCCTAAAACATTCAAGATGCCCCAAAAATGCTTCTCGCGTTTTGGGGCAGATGCTCCAAACATGCTCATCGGTTGCGGCTGAATTTTGACGATGCCTCGAAACATGCTCGCGCGGTTTCAGGCGTCGCTTGACAATGCTCCAAAAATGCTCGCGCGGTTTTAAGCAGTGTTGGTCAGATTGAGGATGCTTCAAAAATGCTCGCGCGGTTTCAGGCGTAGTTTGACGATGCTCCAAAAATGCTCGCGCAGTTCTGGGGCGCGTTGAAGATGCTTCCGGGAGGCTCAGCGCTTTGCGAACATATTCGAATGCGGCCAAAACCGCGCGAGCATTCTTCGAGCATCGCCGCAGTCCGACCAAAACCGCGCGAGCAGTTTTGGAGCATCATCACTCTACAACCAGAGCCGTGCGGGCATTTTCGGAGCATCGTCGTCCCTGTGTCTTCTCCGCCATCGCTTCGTGCGCTATGTCGTTTCGCAATTGTCGTTGGCTGTTTTAAAGGTTAAGGGTTGCGGCTTAGGGGCCTTAGCGCTTAGGGCTTAGGGTCTCGGACCATGACATGTCGCCAGGCGCCGGGCCAAGCAATCGTGGCGACTCGGCGATTCTTATATGCTCCGCGAGGGAAGGAGAGGATGGGTGGTGGGAGGGCTGGTCCCGAAACGGGGCGGCGCCCCCCCCCCTCGCGGAGGTGTTGAACGCGCTGTTTCTGGGGCTCGGACACCGCGCCCGAGTCGCCCGAATTTGCCAGGGGGAGAGAGAGGAAGAAGGAGGAAGGAGCACTCCATTTCGACGATGCCCCGAACGTGCTCGCGCGTTGTTGGTAGCATTCTGATTCTCTAGGGCGGGCAGAAGGGAAGGATAACGAGGAGGATGACGAGTCTGGGTTGTGCGCTAGGGGTGTGCTTTCTAGGCTCCGATGGCAGGCGCATCTGGCTTCTGGGGTTAGTCCGTCTCAGGATCATACTGGGTAATTTTGGCACGGGCTCTAGGGTCTAGGGTCTAGGGTGCGGGGTCTAGGGTCCAGGGTCTAGGGTTTAGAGTTTAAAGTTTAGAGATCTAGGGTCTAGGGTTTAGGGTCTCCGGCCCAGGGTCTCATGTCTAGAGTTTAAATTGGGGTCTGGGGTCCAGGGTCTAGGGTCTAGGATCTAAGGTCTGGGGCAAAGGGCGCAGGGCCAATGGCCTAGGGCCATAGGGCCTAAGGCCTGGCCTTCGCGTTGAAGGCCTAGGGCCTCAGGGGGCAGGATCAGCAGGGCGGAGCAGGGGCCCGGGGGGGGGGGGCATTTTTGGAGCATCTTTAGGGGCATTTTTGGGACATCCCGAGAAGGGCCAGGGCGGGAACCGGGGCGTGGGGCATTTGCGGGGCATCTGTAGGAGCATCTTTAGGAGCATTTTTGGAGCGCCCCGAGAAGGGCCGGGGGGGGCCCGGGGGCGGAGCATTTTTGGAGCATCTTTAGGGGCATCTCCAGAAGCATTCTTGGGGCATCCCGCGAATGACCAGGGCGGGGACCGGGGGGCGCGGAGCATTTTTGGAGCGTTTTTTGACCATTTTTCAGACGGACCGGGGAGCGGTTTTGGAGCAATTTTGGAGCATCTCCATGAGCATTTTTGGAGCATCCCGAGAGGGGCCAGGGCGGGGTCTGGGGGGCGGAGCATTCTTGGAGCATCTGTAGGGGCATCTTCAACAGCATTTTTGGAGCATCCCGAGAAGGGCCAGGGCGGGAACTGGGGCGCGGGACATTTTTTTGAGCACTTTGCATTTTTAGGAGCGCGTTTGGAGCATCCCGAGCAGGGCCGGGGCGGGGCCCCGGGGTGCGGAGCGGCAGCGGCGACGGGCAGCGGACGGGAACTGGGAACGCGGCGAATCGCCAACGCACCCCCACAGAGGCAACCTGGTAACCCGCGAACCAGGGGTTCCTCCTCCTCCGCCGCCTCCCCCTCCTCCCCCGCTCCCTCTTCCACCTCGTCATCCGTTGTCCTATATATTATATATAGTCATATTGTTTCAGTGTTACCTGTTACCGTGGCCCGTAGCCATTTTGGCATCTTGGCTCAAGGACAGCATCTCTCGAAGTGGCGCAGGGCTTTGCGCCTTGTCGCCCCGGTGCTAATAGCGGTGGCGAAGCTCCTGGGGTTCTTCAGGTAGGGAGTAGGTGCCCATCATCAGGCATGAACCATTAGTCGCTAGGATGCAGCTGTGCAGGCTTCCTAGCTCCTAGCTCCTAGCACGTTGTAGGGCTTGGTCCAGCTCACCAACCTCCAGCTCTATGGTTTATAATTTGTGGGATTATTGGGCTCTTGTCTCCTACCACCGAATAACATTATGTAGCGATCGAATTATCGAACTATCTAGAACTTAGAGACTTAGAGACTAAAGGACTAGAGATTTGAGATTAGAGACTAGAGTTTAGAGCTGGATCTAGGTTCAATACAAATTACACATGACAAATACTAAATTACAAAGCTTATAGATCAGCCATAGAGCTGGGTACAGCTTGAACCGAAACCCCATAGAACTAGTTCCAGCCTTACTCTTAACCTTAATATGAGTCTATGGTATTTTAATCCGAATACTACAGGCTGTAGGCTATAGGCTATAGGAATCGCATTAAGGCGTTAAGTGTTGAGGCTGGGCCGATAGCCGATAGCCGATAGTCGATTGCCTAGGGCCTAGGGGCCTAGTGCCTAGCGCCTAGCCCATAGGTCCATAGGTTCATAGGTCGTCGTCGTCGTCGACGGCGGCGTCGGCGTCGAAGTCTCGAAGTCGGCGTCAGCGTCGTCTGCGGCGGCCGCGCCGTCGGCGCCGAAACCCGAAACCCAGCGTCGGCGTCGGCGTCGGCGTCGGCGATGGGGGGGTTCAAGACGCGCCCGAAATCGAACGAACGCGAAAACCGCGCGAGCATGTTTGGAGCATCGCCAAAATACAAGCGAAACCGCGCGAGCATTTCCGGTGCATCGTCGAATTGCGACCGAACCCGCGCGAGCATCACCGCGGAGCATAACATGGAGCATAAGTAATGTTTAAGGCATTTCCCAGTCTTGAGCTGGGCTGAGATGTCACAACAGGAGAGGCAGAAGCACGGGCGGCCATGCAGACGGAGACTGATCAGTTCAGGAGCGACTTCCACCGAGGTGCCCCAGGAGACACCAGGGCCGAAGTGGAGATCAAGAAGCCAAGAGTAGCAACCATTGGTGTGCTCTCTGTCTGTGAATTGGCAGTCTGCGGGGGAGGCTACGACGAGACTTTCGACCCGATGTGGGATCCACGCCCGAAGCGAAGTTCAAGATGCTCGGATAGGTGTGAGAAGCATTCGCTGAGATGCCAGCTGAGGGAGTGCCGCCGAGGTGAGCGTGCATGCAGGCGCTGCCTGATGAGCCGCATCGGCACGGTCAGGAGTCACTTAGGATAACCAGAAGAGGAGCAGACCGAGCAGATGGTTGAGGTCAGTGCCGAGTTGCGCGAGCGCCACCGGTGGAGCCCAAAGACGATGCATTACGATTGCTACGCTGGAGACCCCCTGGGCGAGGATCTGTACCAGAGTGGTCGCGACGACGAGCTGCAGGCCACGGGGGACTATGGAGTCTACGGTGAGGTGGCAACGTCGACGGCGACCGACGGCAAGCATATCGGAGGCTTCCCCGTGGCCCGCATGAAGGTAGGCCGAGTCAGGTGGAGGTTCGTGGCGACGGAGATCAAGCACGAGGTGCGCGAGGACAATATCAAGGCACGCCGCCGCTCATGATTGCGTGGGTGACGTTGAGCCGTGCCGCGTCGAGCCCTACTTCGACGGGAGAGCACGAGCGCATGATTCAGGTCTGGGACGTCAGAAAGGTTTTCTTCAACTCCGACCTCGATGAGACAATCTACGTTCAGCCTGGACGTGAGCTGCGCCCCCCTGCGAGGTGCTGGTGGCTGCGGAAGGCCATGGGCGGCGCCGGGAAGGCGTCGCAGATGTGGGGGGGGGCTGGTGCGGACTGCCGTGGACGACGGCCGCTGGGAATGCTTGGTGGCGACACCCAAGGTGTTCTACTTGCCGGCGGGCCCCGACATCCCTGCCGTCGACGAGGACATCGCGGCGATCTGCCGCGGAGATGACTTACTGGCCGACGGCTCTGACGAGCAGCTGGACGAGTTGGGCGAGTTGCTGAAGCAGCAGTTCGAGGTCAGAGCAAGCGCCAGATTAGGTCCTGGAAGACCTGGGTGGGCGCACTACCTCAAGAGGATCATCGGGTACGCCGACAAGCTGCCGGGTTCAGAGGAGCCAAGTTTCTTCTGGACAGCGGATCCGAAGCACGTGGATTTCACGACTCGCGTGGACACAGAAGCGAGGGTGCAAACCAGCTCCTGCCCCAGGGGCGAAAGCTACAGGACAAGGGCGACGAGACAGCTTAGACTTTCTGTCTAAGGATCGAGCTGGGGAAGTTGCAGGTGCAGCAGGCACGGCGCTCTACCTCTCTTCGGACAGGCCCGACACGATGCATGCCAGCAAGGCCGCGATGCAGCGCGCCTCAAACCCCAGCGTTCTGATGCATGCGCGAGTTCAGCGGCTTGGACTGTACTATGAAGGTCAGCCTGTGTTGGTCTGGTGTTATCCTATGTGGGGTACTCCTGAAGGCATTCGGGTAGACGGAGATGCCGACTGGGCCCCTGCAAGTGACTTGCGGAGACGATCCGCGAGCGGAGGGGCAGTGCGGTATGGTGACCACACATGGGACTGCTATTCAGTGGCGCAGAGCACCATAGCTCTAAGTTCATGGGAACCCGGGATGTATGCTACAGGCAGTGCGACTGCCAGAGGACTCCAGTGCAAGACCTACTTGATCGAGGCCCAGGGGCCTTGCAATCTGAAGATTTACAGCGACAGCACTGCTGGGCGGGGCATGTGCAGCAGAGTGGGCGTGGGCAAGGGTAGGCACTTGGAACTGAGGTACTTATGGGTTCCAAAGCGGTTGCGACTCAAGGCGTTTGAGCTCCTGAAGGAGGACGCCGATGATGACGGCAGACATGCTCACCAATTTCAGCGATCGGTCGACGATAGAGAAGCACTGCACCATTCTGAACAGCATTTTCGGGAAAACAGTTCAAGGGCTCGAGCGCGATGGCAGTTTCCGCGGGAGTCGCGACTTCTGCGTCAGGCGAGAATGTGGCGGTGTACGAGGTGCCAGGCCAGGCAGCGGTTTGCCCCGCATCTGTGCCCCGCTGCGTGGATCGCGAGGAGTTCTGGTTCACCCTGATGACGGGTGTCGTCGTGGTGGTCGCTGCAGTGTTTGTTCTGGGATGCGTGTGCGGTTGCTACGCGAAGAACTACCTCTGGATGGGCCCCGTCCAGGAGGCGGTTGGCCCCGCTCCTGGAGACGCCGACGTCTACCTGACTACGCGGGCTGACGCGGAGGTCAAAACCATGAGTGTACAAGGATTTGGCACGGAGCCTCGCCCAGCACGATGCGACGGAGGAGCGAGGCGCAAGCTTTTCAACGCGTTTCTCGTGGTCGACTTGAAGCAGATCTTAAGAGCCAACGGCCTGCGCGTGAACGGCCTCGAAGACGACCTGATCATCGCGGGGCTGATCAAGAAGGGCAGCGTCCTATCGGGTCGCCAGGCCAAGGATATCGCGCAGCTGAGAGTGGTGGCTACGATGCGCGGATCCCTGAGCAAGATCAGCCCCCAGGACTTGAGTAGTCCTGAGGCCGCGCCAGAGTGGTTTGAGACGTTCAAGAGCGAGTGCCGAGATCGCCCCGATGGCTTGATGCTGATCCATCCAGAGATTTAGACGGATGGTCGCAGGAAGCGCTACGACGGCCGAGGCTGCGCTAACGACAAGGCTGCGGTCAGTTCCGCGCGCGCGCCCGCGGCGGGTAGACCCGCGCGCGGGCTGAGGGCCCGCGGGGAGTCCCGCGGAAGGCCCGCGGAAGTGGCCACAAAGCTGGTGCCCTGCTCGTGCTTTTTGGCTGGAGGCCGAGCCGCTTCCCTGCGCCCGAGGAGAGGTGCTGGGACGTTTGTAGCTTTACTGAGATATGCACATGTGTGTATGTGTGGTTACATATATGATCATATCAACATATAATCATACTGTTTGGGCGATGGCCCGAAATCCTGCAGCCTTTTGTTGCTCAAGAAAAAGAGCAGCCCCCTTTTCCCCTTTCTCCGCGACGGGGGTGGGGGAACACGTGCATTTGAAGAGACAGCGCCCCGCGTCTCCTCTCCTATCCCCTCTTTCCTCCCCCTCCTCCTCCCGCCCTTGCCTCTGCCCCTGCGTGTCCACTATCTCAGCGCACCCAACACGGCGTTTTGTGGCACCATAGGGAGCTCCGCCGAAGGCCCCAGTTGTTGTGATCACATGCGTCCCGCGTCACCCATCACGGCGTTTCGTCGTCCATCGTCGTCCCATAGGGAGCTTCACCGAAGGCCCCAGTGGCTGTGTTCACATGCGTCCCGCGCCACCCAGCACGGAGTTTCGTGGCCCCATGGAGAGATCCACCGACTGCCCCAGTGGCTGTGATAACCTGAGTCCCGCCCCACCCAGATCGGCGTTTCGTGGCCCCATAAAGGGGGCTCCGCCGAATGTCGCAGTGGCTGTGATCACAGGCGTCCCGCGTCACCCAGCACGGCGTTTCGTGGCCCCATGGGGGGGCTCTACCGAAGGCTTTAGTGTCGGTGTTCACATGCGTCCCGCGCCACCCAGCACGGAGTTTCGTGACCCCACGACCCCACGGGGAACTCCACCGAAAACCACAGTGGCTGTGATCACATACGTCCCGCGCCACCCAGTACGGCGCTTCGTGGCCCCACGGGGAGCCCCACCGAAAGCGCCAGTGGCTGTGATCACATGCGCCCCGCGCCACGCAGCACGTAGCTTCGTGGCCCCATACGGAAATCCACCGAGTGCCCCAGTGGCTGTGATCACATGCGTCCCGCGCCCCATAGGGAACTCCATCGAAGGCTCCACTGGCTGTGATCACATGCGTCCCGCGCTACCCAGCACAGCGCTTCGTGGCCTCATGCGGAGCTCCACCGAGGGTGCAAGGGGCTGTGAGCACGTGCGTCCCGCCCCACCCAGTACGTCGCTTCGTGGCCCCATGGGGAGATCCACCGAAGGCCCCACTGGCTGTGTTCACATGCGTCCCCCCCGCCCATTCCGGCATACCCTTCACGCGTTTCGTGGCCCCATGGGGGGCTCCACCGACGACCCCAGTGGCGACGTTTGCATGTGTCCCTCCCGACCATGTCAGCATAGCCCTCGCGCGTTTCGTGGCCCCATAGGGAGCTCCACGGAAGGCCCCAGTGGCGACGTTCGCATGGCGTCCCCGCCCCATCTCGGCGCACCCCTCACACGTTTCGTGGCCCTACATTCAGCGCCACCGAAGGCCCATGCGCCCGCATGAGTCCCCGCCCCATGTTAGCACACCCTTTACACGCTGCGTGGCCCCATAAGGAGACCCACCGAAGGCGACGCACACAACGGTGATACTCACAACTTCATATGGTTGGGCCTTCGTCAGGATAATTTACTTGCCTTGCCTTTCTTTGCGTTGTCTTGTGGTGAACTGGTGTGCCCGGCTCTGCTTTGCTGCGCATTGCTGCATTCTCACTGCATTGATCCGCTTTGCTGTGGCGGTGGATTGACGCGCGTTGCTTTGTTTCGCAGCGCAATGCTGTGCTCGCATGGCATTGCTTTGTATTGCGAGTCTTCTCGGCTCCCAGAATGAACAACTAGGGCCATGCAGTTGAGACACGCACCAGGAGGCCGCCCACATTTTGCCAGAGGTCTCTTGGCTTCTCGGGTTCCTAAGGGGCTTGCGATGAGAGTCCTACCCAGCCGTCCAGGGTGGTTTTGGATTTTGATCGAGATGTTTCGTTACTTTTCCAACCACGGCATTTCCCAGAGGGTGGCCTGTGGGGGCCCTTTTCGGGCCCCATCAATCATAATGTTTCGTGGACGGAAGCTGCTCCAAGGGAGGGGTCAAGGTCATTGGGGCCCGCGGATTGAATATTTTTTCCCCGGTGGAGGGGCGGAGGATGGATGGAGGGAGGGAGGAGGAGAAGGAGGATGGAGGGGAAAGGACGGATGAAGTGAGGAGGGAAGGGAGGAGGGACGGGGAGAGGAGGGAGTCCCCCCCCCCCATCCCCTCCACGCACCCGCGGCGGCCCCAACGACCGCTCGTCAGCCTGCCTCGCCAGAGCACTGCCTGCAGCACCCGCGGGACTCGCCGTGCCTGCAGGCGCCTCTCGTCGTCGTCGTCGTCGTCGTCGTCGTCGTCGTCGTCGTCGTCGTCGTCGTCACCGAGGAGGGAGGAGGTGGAGGGAGGCAGGGAAGGGAGGGTGGGGAGGGGAGGGGACGGAGGATGGCGGAGGAGTGGGGGAAGGGGAGGGTGGAGGGGGGGAAGGAAGGACGTCGGTCGACTCGCCAGTTCGTCCAGAACCGCGGCGCTGCCCAGGGAGGGATGAGGCAGGAGAGAGAAGGGGGGGCGTGATTGGAGAAGGAGAGAGAGGATGCAACGATGAGCTCCGAGGAGAGAGGAGGGAGGCAGGGAGACAGGGAGCAGGTAGCAGGGAAAGAAGGGATGGAACGAGCAGGGCGGGAAGGAGGGAGGGAGGGAGAGAGGGAGGCGGGAGGAGGGAAGCGGGAGGCGGGAGGCGGGAGGCGAGGAGACTTTGAGGGAGGAGACAGGACCAAGAAAGAGATGATGTTGATGATGATGGTGATGATGATGCTGCTGATGATGATGATGGTGGTGATGACGCTGATGATGATGGTGATGATGATGATAATGATGATGATGGTGAGTATGATGATGGTGATGATGATGGTGATGGTGATCGTGATTGTGATTCTGATGATGATACTGCTGATGACGATGATGCTGATGATGTTGATTGTGATGATGATGCTGTTGACGATGATGATGATGCTGATGCTGATGCGGCTGATGATGATGATGATGACGATGATGATGCTGATGACGATGCTGATTCCGCTGATGATGATGCTGATGCTGATGATGAAGAGGCTGCTGATGCTGATGCTGATGCTGATGCTGACGATGATGGCGATGATGACGATGCTGCTAGTGATGATAATGCTGCGGATGATGATGATGATGATGATGATGATGATGATGATGATGATGCGGATGATGAGGATGAGGATGAGGATGAGGATGAGGATGATGATGATGATGATGATGAATATGATGATGATGATGATGATGACGAGGATGAGGACGATGATGATGATGATGATGATGACGAGGATGAGGACGATGATGATGATGATGATGATGATGGTGATGTTGATGCGGATGATGATGCTGATGATTATGATGACGATGATGTTGATGATGATTTTGGTGATAATGATGCTGCTGATGATGCTGATGATGGTGATGCTGCTGCTGCTGACGATGCTGATGATGCTGCTGCTGTTGATGATGACGATGATGCTGACGATGATGATGCTGATGATGATGATGATGATGTTGATGATGCTGATGATCATGATGATGATGCTGATGATGCTGATGCTGATGCTGTTGATGATGATGATGAGATGCTGAGGATGATGATGATGATGATCGTGATGGTGATGACGATGATGATGATGTTGCTGATGATGAGGATGCTGATGATAATGATGATGATGATGATGATGCTGATGATGATGATGATGAGAATGATGATGAGGATGATGATGATGCTGATGATGAGATGATGATGATGATGATGATGATGATGATGATCATGATGATGATGCTGACGATGATGATGATGATGATGATGATGATGATGATGGATGATGATGATGATGATGATGATGATGATGATGATGCTGATGATGATGATGATGATGATGATGATGCTGATGATGATGATGATGCTGATGATGATGATGATGATGATGATGATGATGATGATGATGATGTGATGATGATGATGATGATGATGATGATGCTGATGATGATGATGATGCTGATGATGATGATGATGATGATGATGATGATGAGGATGAAGGATGAGGATGAGATGATGAGGATGAGGAGGAGGAGGAGGAGGAGGAGGGAGGAGGAGGAGGAGGAGGGAGGAGGAGGAGGAGGAGGAGGAGGAGGAGGAGGAGGAGGAGGAGGAGTCGGATGAGGAGGAGGAGGAGGCGGAGGAGGAGGAGGAGGAGGAGGAGGAGGAGGAGGAGGAGGAGGAGGAGGGGGAGGAGGAGGAGGAGGAGGAGGAGGAGGAGGAGGAGGAACACCAGTGTACGCACACGGCGCATCAACGATGTTGCGATCACGCTTCCCTCCGAGTCCCCATGGTGATAATCCCCAACAAGAATTTACCCCCAACCATCCTATGGTGTTGGGTCCTCGTTTTGAAGAAACAGCGCCCCGTGCCCACCCCCCTCCGCCTCCTCACTCCTCTCTGCGTGCCCCTGCTCTACCATGTCGGCACACCCCTCACGCGTTTCGTGGCCCCATAGGGAGCTCCTCCGAAGGCCCCAATGGCTGTGATCACGTGCGTCCCGCGCCATCCAGCACGGCGTTTCGTGGCCCCACCCGGAGCTCCACCGACGGCCCTAGTGGCGGTGTTCGCATGCGTCACCGTCACCCATTTCGGCACGCCCCTCAGACCCTTCGTTGCCCCAGAGGGAGCTCCACCGAAGGCCCCAGGGGCGGTGTTCGCATGCGTCCCCGCACCCGATTCGGCACACCCATCACACGTTTCGTGGCCCAACGGTGAGCTCCACCGAAGGCCCCAGCGGCGGTGTTCGCATGCGTTCCCGCACCCAATTCGGGACACCCCTCGCACGTCTCGTGGCGTCATAGGGATCTCCACCGAATGCCCCAGTGGTTGTGTTCGCATGCGCTCCCGCCGCCCATTTCGGGACACCCCTCAGATGTTTCGTGGCCCTGTAAGGGGACTACACCGAAGGCCGCAGTGGCGGTGTTCGCATGCGTCCCTGCACCCGATTCGGGACACCCCTCACACGCTTCGTGGCCCCAGATGGGGCCCCGCCGACTGTCACAGTGGTGGTGTTCGCACGCGTCCCCGCGACCAATTTCGGCTCACCCCCCAAACGTTTCGTGGCCCGATCGGGAGCTCCATCGAAGACGATAGTCACCAGTGCGCTATTACAGCTGCACGGAAGTGACATGATTTTGTCAGCTGGAAGTGCCCCGTTGGAAGACAGCCGTCTGACAATCCTAATCCCCAATCGTGCCAACACACCACTCCTTGCATTTCAATGCCACGCATCAACTTTCCTGTTGCGTCTTGACGATCCTGCATCGCGCCAGCACGCCATTCCTGAGACTTTAACGCAGAACACGGCGCACCAACGTGATTGATGCGCCTTGGCAATCCTGAGTCGTCTCGGAACACCATATCTGGGACGCCAGCCATGCCATTCTGTTAAGCAGTTGAAAGCTTTTAAGCAGATTGTGCGCGGCGCTAAAGTGAGAGCTTTATTTCGAAAACTAGTAGCCGCCCTCTAGCCGTGAATATATTGCGAAGTGTTCACGCGCACGCCACACTTTGAAGACCACTTCTGTGCTCGATCCGTGAAGCTGCTTTCAAGACGAATGTGCCCGGCGCTAGGGTGCGAGCGACATTTGAAAGCGATCCGCCCTCCATCCGTGGTGCTCTTGTGAACTTTTCACCCGCATGTGCGCGGCGCCAAGGCGAGAACCACCACAGTTTGAACACCACCAGCCATGCATCCGTGACGCCACTGCAATTTTTTAGAGACGAGTGTGCGCCACGCTGGGGCGAGAACCACATTTTGACAGCGATCCGTCCTCCATTCGTGAGGCTCTTGTGAACTTTTTCGCACGCGTGTGCGCGGTGCCAAGGCGAGAGATTTTGAAGACCACCCGCCCTCGATCCGTGCAACTTTTGCAAACTTTGAGGGCGCATGTGCGCGGCGCCTAGGCTGGAGCCGCATTTTGAAAATGACACGCTCTCCACTTGCGAAGCTGTTGCAAGTTCTAAGCTTCAGAGTCAGCGACCGTGGTGAGGAAGTCACAGGCGAAACGCCCGTCCCGTTCCACCGACACGTCTTGGGCGTTGACAGGGAGGAGTGATTTCCAAGGGGGAAAGGAATGGACGTTGAGGATGAGGTAGAGAAGGAAGAGGAGGGACGATAACGACACCGACGATGATGACAGCGATGCCGATGATGACGACGACGACGATGATGATGAGGAGGAGGAGAAGGAGGAGGACGAGGAGGAGGAGGAGCAGAGGGAGGAGGATCATGGTGGTGGTGGTGAGGATGGGAGTTACGAGGGCAATGATGGAAGAAGGATAATGAGGAGGAGGAGGAGGAGGAGGACAAGGCTGTCCACGATCTCGATCGAGGCAGTGCTGCGCGCCGATGTGACTGAGTGTGGTATCGGTATACTCTATGGCGGACCCCAAGGGCGACTCCCCTTCGTCATCGATGAGGTTCGGTTCGTTTGATTCTATGCCAACGTGCCAGCGCTGCAGCAGAGCAGCAGGGAGGAGGTTGAGTTGAAGACCCGCTCTATAAACAGTCCCTCCTCTTCCAGAACCCATCCCCGGCTCTTCTTTCTTTCTCCTCCTCCTCCCCTCCCTCTTTCCTCTTGACGCTGTCTTGAAGGCTTACTCGAGGCTTCTTTGGGGCCTCTGGGGGCCCTCTTGTGGGGGCCCTCTTGGGGGCCCTCTTGGGAGCCCTCTTGGGAGCCCTCTTGGGAGCCCTCTTGGGGGCTCTCTTGTGGGCCCTCTTGTGGGCCCTCTTGCGGGCCATTTGGGGCTCAGTTGGGGACCTGTCTGGGGTCTTGGGGCAGTCTTGCGTGTGACAGTCCTACGGCGCTCTCCCAAGGACGCTCGGTAGAACTATCTGAAGGGTTTCGCCCTCCGCCGCCAGCCCCCATCAGATTGCTTGCATGACCATGCTTGGTCGGTAGTTTTGTTGGTTGTCTTCTTGGTTGGCTGGCTGCCAATTCGGTTGATTGGCTCGTTGTCTAAATTGATGGCTGGCAGTTTATTTGGGCTGCTTGCTGGCTGGCAGGTGGCGCGTGTCCGTGGAGGGATGGTGGCCTCGGGAGTGCGCTTCCATCACAATCTACGAGGGTTCGCGGCTCCCAGAGCACCCCTAGCTTTTCCAGAGGATTCGTTGCCTCGGAATTCGTTGTAACTCACCAGGGAATGCGGCCTAGGGAGCGCGACCGCCGTAATTTACGAGGTGTTGTGCATTCGGGAATGCGAACGCGCAGTGGTGGTTTCGAGAGCGCGAGAGTGAGGTAATTTTCAGAAAAGGAGGATTGTGGCTTGGGGAGCGCGAGTTCTTTGTAGTTTACTTGGGATTGTGGACTCGAAAGCGCCAAGGTGTTGTAACTTAATAGTGGGTTATGGCTTTGGGAACGCGAGCGCGCTGTGAATTGCAAGGGGTTGTGGCTCGGGACGTGCGAATTTATGACATGTTAGAAAGTGATTGCTGCATTGGGATCGCGAGTCCATATCATTTTGCAAGACGGTGTGGCTTTTGGGACGCAAGCTTGTTGTAATGCACAAGGGTTGTGGTTGCGGAAAATTAAGTGAAGTAGCTTACGGAGGACTGTGGGTTAGGGATCGCGAGCGCGGGATGATTTACGAGGGACTGCGGTTTTGACGACGCGAACTTGTTGTATTTTGCATGGGGTTGTGGTTTTGGGAGCGCGAGCGCGTCGTAATTTCTGAGGGGCTGGCTTGGGGAGCGCGAGTTCGCTAACTCGGGATTGTGGCATCGGGATCGCGAGCGTGACGTATTTGACAGAGGATTGTGGCTTCGGGAGCGATAGCGCGGTGTAAGTTACGAGGGTATATGGCCTCAGGAGTGCAAGCGCGTCGTAATTCACTAGGGATTGTGGCCTCGGGGTCGCGAGCGCGTTGTAACGTACAAGGGATTGTGGCCACGGGAGCACGAATCTGTCGTATTTCGTGAAGTGTCCCAGCGTCCCCTGGAATTCAAGCAAGGCGACTCCGGCGTGGCAATCTTCGCGTACTTCAATCATCGCATCATAGGAAGTTGACAATCGAACGTCTATAAGCAGAAGTGGACCTGTTGCAGGGGGCAGGAACAGCTAGGCCTCGCAGCCAGTTGGCCACCAACGCGGGCTGGCGGATTTTAGCACGTCTGTCCGGGTCTCAGGCCGTTTTGATGGCATCTCGGGCTGTGATGAGGCCGTCTTGGACCGCTCTTGGGACCACCTTGATGTGAAGCAAACGAGTTGGCGTAGTAATGGCTGGGGGGGAGTCCGGGTGGAGGCACGGCAGTCGCTGTACACCGTCGCCATTTTTGGCGCAAGCACGGTTGCGATTGTCATCTTGGGGTTGCCCTCTGATCGCCAGGCCACGTCCGGGTTGGCCATGGCGTCGCCTTCAACTCCTGTTTTCACTGGTCTCGACGGGGAGGCACCAGGGTCCGGTCCGGCGGGGTCTCGCCTCCTACTCCCGGCGCCGCAGGCGGACGGGGAGTCGGTGGGGGGGGAGCCCGCTGGAGAGGGTCTTGTCCCCACCAGTGGAGGAGGGGCGCCCGCGCCGAAGGCGCAGGCGGCGGCGCCGCCGCCTACGCTCCGCGTCGAGGCGTCCATGGCCGTGAACGTGGCCGTCACGCTCCTGAAGTACGACTTCCGCTTGTGGGCCGAGTTTGTGGAGGGCCTCGGTGACGTCATCGAGAATATCTCGGTCGCAGACATTTTCGACTGCACCGAGTCCAACATCCTGGAGGCGGTCAAGAACGTCGTCGTGGACGGGAACCCGTTGAACGCTCTTGCAGAGGGCCGGCTCCTCAGGCAGATCCGCGACCTCGCGGAGGCAGTGGGATACGAGCGGCTGGTCTTAGGTGGTCTTCGCCGGCAAGCCGCTCCTCTGGCTGCCCCGCCCCGGGGCGCCGCTGCTGCGCCGGCAGGTGCGCCAGGCGGGCGCGATGCATCGGAAGCGGTGGCTTCGGCGGCCGCCCACGCTGCTGCTGCGGCGGCGGCGGCAGCCGCGGTGGTACCGCAGATCAACCACCGGCGGAAGTTTTCTTCGTGTTTGGCCGCCGGGGACGAAGGGGAGTTCCTGCTCCTGCCGGCGGAAAAGGTTCGGAAGTTGACGGCGGAACACCGCGAGGCTTGGGGCGCCAAGACGCCAGAGTACGAGAACCACAACGTCGACCAGCTGTCGGCGGTGCCCGCCAAGGTCGCCAGCGACGAGCCCCCCTACGCGGACTTCTCCGTTTTCGGTCCGTACGGGAAGCGCCTCCAGAAGTTGATGAGCTGCAGAGCTCAGGTCTTCGTCGACGGGGAGCTGCGGACCAAGACGATCCAGGGCCCGAGCAGCTTTGACCAGTGGCGCCGCTGCTGGCGCGTTTTCCGGAACCTCGCGGTGAAGCTCAAGTTGAGCAAGCCTGGCCCTTTGGACGCGTACGAGGAAGGGATCCGGCAGCTGGCCCAGGGCTTCCCCAACCATTGGGGCTTGCTGGTGGTAGTCGAGGACCACATGCGTTCGGAGCGCTGGGCCGCGATCCGTGAGGAGCTGGAGATCGAGTGGGCGGCCGGCCGGACGCCGCGCGGCCTTGCGTCCGAGCGGCCTTGGGAGGCTGTGATCTCCTTTACCGCCTACGGCACCGGCCATGATCGCGACTGGTGGTGCGCACGCGTGGACAAGCCCTGTCTCCAGACGCCGTCGGTCAGCGGCGCCGCGGCGCATTGAGGGGGGCATTGCCAGGGGGGAGGTCCGGCACCACCATGCCGTCGCAAGGCCCGAGGGGAGGGGTTCCAGCGGCGGCCGCTCTCGCAAGCAGGAGAAGACCGCCGCCTGGCTCGAGCGGGTGCGCAACCCCTCGTCGAGGCCAGACAACGCGCGCGGCGACGGTCGCTTCTCATGACGAGGACGGCGTGGAGCTCTGCTGGAATTGGAATCGCTCCATGACCGGCTGCGGGGCCGCGGGGTGCACCGTGACGCCCAAGCGGAGCCACCTGTGTGAGTGGTGCCGGCGCCCCCACAGGGCCGTCGACGACGACGCGTGCAAGGCGCCCAACCGGCCGCCCAATTGGCGCCCGGGCAAGGGGAGAGGCCAGGGCGGCGGCCGCGGCCGCGGCGGCAAGAAGTGCTGGCCAGCAGGGGCCGCCGCGCCTCGCCCGCGGGGCACGCTGGGGCCCCCCCAGGGCAGCGACTCCACGCTGCCTAATACCGCCGCTCCGGCCGTCTTGGAGACAGCCGGAAGGAATTCGAGTTCGTCGTCAGCGCCCTCATCACTGACGCTGTGCTCGGCACCGAGACTGCGGCCAGCCAGTCCCTCTTCCACAGTTTCACGCCCGCGGCCCCTGCCGCCGGGCTCGCGGCGACGTCTCGTCGCCCGGAGCATCGACAAGCATCTCGCTCCTCTTCGCGGGGTGCGCCTTCGGCTCCAGGGTCTTCGTCGAAGCCCTCGGCTCGAAGGCCCTGTCGTGCCCGCGCGCGATTCGCGGCCCGCCCCTCCGGGGCGCGTCGCCCGGGCCCGCGCCGACAGGGGGGCCCGTCGCCGCGGACGTCGTTGCAGACGCTGGAGAGCTCGCGGCCCGTCTGCCCAGGCCGGCCGGGGACCCTCGGCAGGACGCGCGCGACCGGCGCCGCGTGCGGGCCCGCACCCCCTCCGCGTGCCGTGGGGCCCGTCGGCGAGGGAGGAGAAATCCCGGGAGGACCGGGAGTGCGTGGCCGGTTTGCGCAACCCTGCTGGTGTCGTCAGCTGGTGGCCTACTCTGCGGGCAACCTTGGCGCCTGTCCGCCATGCTCTCTGTCGCCTACGTCAGGCGCGCCCAGCGCTGCAGCAGTTTCATTTGGCGTGCGGAGACCCCCCGGGGCGCCCCCCGCCCGCGGAGGAGGACGTCGCTGCTGCGAGACGCGCGGTCGGGGAGGCGCTCGGGCTCTCGGCCGCGCTCGCAGATGCGCACCATGCGGCGTCGCCTCTCCGTTGCGAGCTCTTCCGCGCGCTGGCCCTGCGCGCCGGCGACCCCGACGCGCAGGTCGCAGAGTGGCTGCAGTGCGGCGCGCCCGTGGGAATCAGGAGGCCGGTCGTGGCAGGCGGCCTTTTTCCACGTTCGGACCGGCCCCCGGAGGAGGGCGCCGAGCACCTCATGGGCACATGCGACTTCAGGGGCAACCACCCCTCCTTCAGCCAGACCTGGGGCGAGAGCGCGCCGCCCGCGACTGCGTTGATTCAGGCGTACGTCGAGAAGGGATTCGGGAAGGACTTCCCCGCGCGCGAGGACGCGGGGCGCTTCTTCGGCGCCCAGTGCTTCCCAGCCCCGCTGGGCGACGTCAGCAAGCTTAGGGGGGCGGCCTGAAACACCGTATCATCCAAGACCTCCGCATTTGTCACATCAATGGCGCCTGCGGCACCTACGAGCGGACCGTGCTGCCTCGTGCCATCGAGCACGGCGTGGACCTTGCTGATATGGCCGCTCGCGGCCCCCACATTTTCGTGCTCGTCCTGGACTTGGAGGACGCCTTCATGACCGCCCCTCCCCACTTTGACGAGCAGCCCTTCAACTGCGCGGAGGTCCCCGGCGTAGGCTTCATCGTCTGGCAGGTTCTCGGGTTCGGGGGGAAGGCCAACCCCCTCGTCTTCGGCCGCGTGGGGTCCTTCGCAGCTCGTTACGGTCAGGCGTTGTTGGGCCCTGCCCGGTCTCGGCTCCAGCTCTACGTGGATGACCCCGCGGTCGTCGTCGCCGGGGAGTTGGAGGAGCTCCACGGCGAAACGGACCTCCTGCTCACCTTCTGGTTGTCGCTCGGGTTCCGCCTCTCTTGGAAGAAGGGCGCCTCCGTCCAGGCAGTCCGCACTGGGGGCGCGAGCGTGCTCGAACCCGTGCGGGCCGGGCCCATCGACGAGCAGGGCGCGCTCAAGCATGAGTGGATGGGGATGCTGTTCGCGCTTCGCGGGCAGGTGGCCCTCATGGGTCTGGCGAGCGACTACGTGGGCTCTACGCGCGAGGCTTTGGCGCCGTTCTTGCGCCGCTCGGGCGCGGCCACCGTGGCGCAGGCGCGCTCCGCCATCGGGAAGGCTGCCCGCGTGGCCCAAATTGTCCCCGCAGCCGCGCCTTTTGTTGCCTCCCTGTGGGCCGCGCTCGCAGGGGCGCAGCGGGCGGCGGCGGACGGCAGGGCCGAAGCGCCTCCGGGCAGCGTGGCGGTCGTGCGCTTCTTCGCGGCCGCGGCGTGGATGGATGCTCTGCTCCGTCCACTCCCAAGTCCGGAATCAGAGGTGCTCTTCCCGCTGTGTCGCCGCGTTCGCCCTCGCGGAGCCGCTCCAGCGACGCGGATTTCTCAGTACAGGGTCGAGTTCGACGCCTCCCCTTGGGGGGGTGGCGCCCTCATGGCCAAGGGCGACTGCTTCTGCGAGCACTTCTTGATCGTGTGGAACGACGCTTTGTTCCAGAGGTTCGGGGCCATTCGCGGCAATCCCAAGTGGCAGTCCTTGTGGGAGATTGTGACGCTGCTGTTGGCCCTCATGGTCTGGGGGGACTACGCGGTTGATTGCTGCCTCATGGTGCTCGGGGATAACGTGTCCGCGCTCCAGGACGCGCTCAGTTTAAAGGGCAAGGGCGACATGAATCACGTGGCTCGTGAAATCTCATGGCGCGCTGCGCGCTTCCGTTGGATATTCGATGTTCAGCATCTTCCATCGGAATTAAACCGCGTGGCCGACGCGCTGTCGAGAAAATGCGTTGAGCCACCTTCGCCCTTCCCCGCCGAATTGGCGCGGGGTGGCAGTGTGCCCAGATCTCCCCCACCCTGGTCTGCTGTCTGGTTGGCCTGGGTGGATAAGCCCCCAGCGCAGGACACCAGCTAACAGCAGTATACCCAGGGTTCTCTTCTGGTGCCAGCGTGGCACACCGGCCCCATGGCCAGACGCCGCCTGGCTAATCGACGCGAGCGTTCGAGAGAAAAATGCTCAGCTCTCTCATGCCGCGGGCCGGTGCGTCGGTGACCTTCCGGGCTCCCGAGGACGCCTTTTCCGGTCACCTGCTGGGGTTCCCACAGCTTGCGTCGGTGACCTTGCAGGCCCCCCAGGACGCCTTCTCTGGTCACCGGCCGGGGTTCCCACAGCTTGCGTCGGTGACCTTTCAGGCCCCCCAGGACGTATTCTCAGGTCACTGGCTGGGGTTCCCACAGCTTGCGTCGGTGACCTTGCAGGCCCCCCAGGACGCCTTCTCAGGTCACCGGCTGGGGTTCCCACAGCTTGCGTCGGTGACCTTTCAGGCCCCCCAGGACGCCTTCTCAGGTCACCGGCTGGGTTTCCCACAGCTTGCGTCGGTGACCTTGCAGGCACCCAAGGCGCCGTTTCGTGGGGCAGGGGAGCATCGGCATAGCATCGGCACGAGTAGTCAGCAGTGGCTCAAGACCCCCCCCCCTTTTTGCCACGCCCCCTTTTGTCAGTAGCGTTGCTGGGGGATGCCAGCCCATCCTCGGATGTTAGAGTTTCTCCCGGGAAAATCCATGCCCAAGTGACCTGGTGGCAGTTCGTGGCGCACTCGTCACCGATAGAACATCGTGTGATTCAATGAGGTCAATGTGGGGGCACTGGATGCGCATTCCTTCTCCTCCTCCTCCTCGGCCCAAGCACCCCCCCCCCGCGCTCTCCGCGCTTCCCCGCCACTGGGCGCACCATGTGGCCGCGTCGCTTGAGGGGGGACCTGGCCGACGCCCTTCCTGGCCGCAAGCGGCAGAGGGGGGCGCTGGTAGGCGGGTGCGGGCGGTCGCCCTCGTCCCCCAATCCACCGCCTGACACTGGTCCTGTGGCGGCTTCACGGACTGGGGGGGTGACTGCAGCAGGGGGCTCGGGGGGCGCCCCGCCAGCCCTGCCTGGGCTGCGCGCGGGGGCTCCAGGGCGGCAGGTTTACCGCCGCGGATCCTTGCCGAACTTGGCAGAGGAGGAGGCCCGCGACGCAGCCTTGCAGGAGTTCGAGCGGGCAGTGTGCGCCCAGGGCACGCTGGACACCCAGGAGTCGTTGTTGAGGACCGCCCAGAAGCTGCTCAACTTCTGGAAGGTCCCCTTTTGCCGCTCACGGAGCGCACGGTGCAGCAGCTGGGGGCTGGCCTCAAGGCTGGCGGTTGCCGCTCAGCTCCCGCTTACTTGTCGGTCGTGCGCCGGGCGGCCGAACGGGCAGGGCAGGTTCTGACCCCCGCAGTTTTGCTCGCTCTGAAGGATGCCAAGCGCGCGTGCCTACGGGGCGTTGGCCCTGCGCACCGGGTCGAAGGCCCACCCTTGGCACGTTTGCACGAGCTTCCGGACGACCCGGCTCCGTGGGCGCAAGGGGGGCCCCGAGCGCCGAAGCGCGCCTTGATCTTGGGTACTTGGTGGCTCACCCGAGAGATTGAGCTCGCGAATGCGAGGGCGGTGCGCGTCCAGTTCGCCGGCGATCCGACCGACCTCGTCGCTGCATGGGCGCTGCCAGTGTCCAAGTCAGACCAGGAGGCTCGCGGCCGCGAGCGCCGGCACGGGTGCACTTGCGGCAGGGGCAGGTTCCCCGCGATTTGCCCGGCGCACGCCCTGTGGCGCCGCAGGGCGGCCTTGCGCTCGTGGTTCCCCGAGCGCCACTCTTCCGACGGCGTATCGTTGGTCGACCTCCCGCTCTTCCCGGATATGGCGGGAAACCCTTGCACCAAGCAGGGCATGGTGGATGCGATAGCCCGCGCGGCGGCCCTGCTGGGTCTCCCACTTCGCACGCCCGAGGGGCTCCCGTGTTGGACCGGCCACTCCTTGCGAGTTGGAGGCGCGCAGGGCTTGGCACTGGCAGGTCTTGATTCGTGGGCCATCCAACTTCTGGGTCGCTGGGGGTCGCTTGCTGTGCTGGGCTACATGCGTGGCGCTCCTCTGGCGGGCAGCCACGCCTGGGCAGCGGCCGCTTCGGAGGGCGCCGCCCCTCGTCGCCTGGCGCCCTCCGCCACCTTGGAGGACCTGGTGGCTGGCCGCGCGCGCGTTCGAGGAGCTGGCCACAGGCCCCGTGGCGCGGCGGTCTCCCGCAGCGCGCTGGCGCCAGCTTCTATGGAGTCTAATGTTCGGGCTCTGGCAGTCCGGGTCGGTGGACTGGAGCTGGACGTTGTCCACCTGCGCGAGCTCCTCGACGCGGAGGTGCAGTCGCAAGCGGCTCGCCAGGTAGCCGTGGACAGCCTGGGCGCGCCCCGCGCTTTACCGGGGGCGGCGCCGGAAGCTCAGGCCGAGAGGGAGGCTGCAATGCCTTGCGTTCGCAATGCAGTCTCGGGGGTCGTCCGCGCAGTGATGCTGAGGCCAGGCGTCTCTAGTCCGCAGGGCGTAGCGTATTGCTCGTGGCAGTTCTCGCTGGGCACGCACGCCGCGCTTGTCGACGGGCTCCCCGACTTCTACGAGGACCTCTGTGAACGCTGCTACCCCGCGCGCCGGGGGCAACGGGGGAGATTAGCGGGCGAACATGGCGCCCTGGTGAACCGGCAGTTGGGGGCTTCTCCCCGTCCGTCAGTACCAGCGGGCTCCGAGCCCCTGCGGCTGGCGGCGGGCTTGCCTGCTTGAGCCTCGCGCCCTTCCTAGGCCGGGGCCGTTCCACCCTTCTGCCACGGCTTCGCCGCCAGGGGGGAAACAATCATGCCATCGCGCTCTCTCTTCTTCCTCGCGGGGTCGGCTGGGTGGGTTGACTCCATGCCAGTTATTGTGAAGCAGACGAGTTGGCGTAGTAATGGCTGGGGGGTGGGGGGGGGTCCGGGTGGAGGCGCGGCAGTCGCTGTGCACCGTCGCCATTTTTGGCGCAAGCGCGGTTGCGATTGTCCCCACCCGCCCACACCATTAGTACTACGACTGCGCGCTCGTGCCATCCTGACCGTGGCCGGGGCTTCCCCCCGTCCGTCAGTGCCAGCGGGCTCCGAGCCCCTGCGGCTGGCGGCGGGCTTGCCTGCTTGAGCCTCGCGCCCTTCCTAGGCCGGGGCCGTTCCACCCTTCTGCCACGGCTTCGCCGCCAGGAGAGAAACAATCATGCCATCGCGCTCTCTCTTCTTCCTCGCGGGGTCGGCTGGGTGGGTTGACTCCATGCCAGTTATTAGGGCTTTCTGACGCTTCCTCGAGGCGCTCTGGAGCTGTCTAGAGGTGGAGCAACAACAAGGAAGGGCTATTCAGGCCGGTCCCACCATGCCTCCTGCACAGGCGTCTCTCCTCTTCGTGCCTCCTCCTGCCCCTCCTCGCGCCTCCTTTTCGCGCCTCCTCCTCCTCCTCCTCCTCCTTCTCCTTCTCGCGCCTCCTCTTCCTCGGTTTCAAGTTCCCCCGTAGATCCATTACTTTGCCCCGAGCCCTCCCAGCAGGCTGCCCCGTCGGTGCTGCGGCTCGAAGATGTCCCCGACCTTGCGTTTGAAATTCCCACTGCTACGTGGTCGGAGGCTCGACAGCAGGTGGGCTTTCGGTCGGGTGCTGAAGTTGTGGCTAGCCTCTCCCCCATCCTCTCCTCCTCGGTAGCCTTGTCGCTCGAACCTGTTCACAGCGCGCTCCTCACATGGGTAGTCTGCTGCATGGGGGACGGCGGTCGGGAAGGCATTCCGTAAGCATCATGATATCAGGCCATCTTCTGAGACCACGCGTTCTGTGGGCCCCTAGGTCGACGAGAAGCCAAGGTCACAGCCCATGTACGTAAGCTGGTCCTCTTGGACCAACGTAGCCAATGGTGGACTCGAGTCCGTGCGGTGCTGGCAGGAGTATATCGACGCCGGTGCAGGGGCAGCGGAGCTCGCCAACGTGATGAGTATGCTAGGGTGTGCGCAGCGCTACGCAGCTTACGACCTGATGGGGCGCATGTCATTCTCAACGCGGGCCGCGAGGCCCCATGGGGCCAAGGGCTATCTGTGCTGGCCGACCCGTCGATGCTGGCTGCCCCAGTGCTGGAGAACTACGCCATCGCAGCGAAGCGGGTGGTCGGCAGTGCCCAGAAGCAGCTCTCTATGATTTGATTAGCAAATTCAAATCTTTTGTACTGTAACCAGAGGCCGTGGGCATTCTCCACAGGTCGTTGAAGCAGAGTCCGTTGGCCGCGTTAGAGTTGGATGTCGGGGGCCACGCCCTCGTCCAACCCGCGGACACCATCGAGCGCAAGGCGGTGAACTTCAAGCGGCTGGGCCCCGCGAGCCCGAGACCTTGGATAGGTATGTGAAATTTTTCGAGTGATTTAGGAGGGGGCCCAATTCGACGCTCTCCCTGAGCTCGCCCCAGAATTTGTCTATGCCAGTGCCAGGGCCATGAAAGATAAGGCAGGACTGGGTGTCGACGTCGTGAGCCCCGTGGACTACCAGAGGTTACCCCAGAGGCGATCTCGGAGTTCACGAACACCCTGGCGAGTGCCGAATCGCTTATAGCGTGGCCGGCGCAGACCCAGATCATCGCGACGCTCCTCACCCCCGAGAAGTCTCAGGGAGGTGGATGCATAGGTATGATATCTATGATGGGCCGTGTTTGGTTTCATATACGAGAACAGGCGTGGGATGCCGGAGTTGCAGGGCAACCTTGTTTAAGGGAAGCATATTTTCACGCAGTAGACGAAGAGCTTGCGCATTGGATTGATATGCAATTCTTGGCGCTTCGCGTATTCCCACCAGCTTGTTCGC